ATGCAATACAAAACAATATAAAACAATTTAAAAAAGTTTCATTTTATGCATTTATTAAAGCATTTCGTGATTTAATAATCAGATCTTACGCTCGGATTAATTTGAAAACAAAACTTTGAGTGAATTATTTGGAAACAGATATCATTTGAAATGATAGCAAATTACATAAAAAGTTGGTGTTTTGCGATACAAAATGCAAACATAATGCTATAGTTTTGTCAAAATTAGAAACACGGTTCAAGTTTGAAACAAAACTATTGAAGTAAAGCACAAATAGTTGAATGGATAACTGTATGGCATGTATTGGATAACTAATTTCTGAAGTGATTTGAAAAATAAGTCAAAAATAAGAACAACGACAACAGGTTTACAATACTGTGGTCTTGAAAATCAGTGTTATATACAAATGATAGGAACCACTGGTTTGAAGAAAACAACAAAATTGTTGCAATTTTAGCTCTCATTCATTGACCCCTTCCCTAATCGGTTGAACGAACGGCCAATTCTTATGCCTTAACAATGGGCTCAACGTTATAACAGACATAACAACAGAACCACATTATCAAGTGATAGCCGCGGGATATGGTATATAATAAATCATAACATTTGTTGAAAACTGCATTTTATTGTTTAACCTTTTGTAGCATTAAAAATACAAGTAATGCATGTCTTATATCATAGATGAAAATGGGTTTTGATGTGCTTTATTGCAAATAATAATAGATTTACAGTTACATGACATGAGTTACCAATTACTAAAGTTACCGAATCCGCCCCCTCTTCCAGGATTGCCAACTGTCGATGGTTTCGACTTTTTAGGCACTAATCCTTCATTGTTATCGTCAGTACCTCTTTTTAAAGCCTTTAAATCGATGAAAGAACCGATTCCTGATCGATGTGTTTTTAGTTCTGCCTTTTTCTTGGAAGCCATGGCCTCTCTGTCTTTGGTTGCCTTTTCCTCTTTCTCTAACTCTTCTCTTTGTTGTTTCATTTGGTCCTCAATTTCCTGAAACGGGTCCACGAAAATAGCCGTTCGTATAATTTTTATCTCTTCTAATGGTCTGTCCTTTTCATTGGTTTTAATTCTTTCCATTTTGTCCAAAACTTCGAGACCTCCGACCACTCGACCAAAAATGGTGTGCTTTTTGTCCAAATGCTTACACGAGCGGAATGTTATGAAAAATTGTGATTTATTAGTGTTGGGCCCGGAGTTAGCCATACTTAATACACCCCTTCCTTCGTGACTAAATTGAGGCTTTATTTCATCATCAAATGGCTTCCCAAAGCAAGACTGGCCTCCGGTTCCCGTTCCCGTCGGGTCTCCCGATTGGATCATAAAGTTTTTAATCAAACGATGAAATATATTGTTCACGTAATAATCAGTTTTGCAAAGAGTGAGGAAATTATGGCACGTTTTGGGCGTTTGATCGCAATATAACTCCAGATTTATATTTCCCAAATTGGTTACGAATCGGACGTAACCTTTCTTTTTGACTTTTGAATACTTAATGAAGTCTTCGTCGAGAACTGCCGGCTCTAACTTCGACCAAATCGGGTCCATAACAGTGG